GTTCTGTTGGACCAAGGAGAAGAAATAATATGCAATTTGAACCATAAACTTATGGTTTATGATGAGTGAGCGAGTAGATCTAGACAGGGATGTGTTTCTCAAAACCAGGATATAAACTGGGGACTATTGTCTGAAGAAAATGGTAGCAACTGATGTTATGTTAGATTTTCATCTTTTTCTAGATTTCCAGGAAAATGTTGTGACAGAGCTAATGCATTTGTGGCTGACCTTTCTTCACCTGCCTATACAGCCGGGTACCTGATGGAGGGACACATGTAGTGAATGGCTTCCTCTGCATTCATTGCATTCTTGGTGGCTCTGAGTCCTGGCCATGCATTATGGTTCAGAGGCAATGCCTGGGCCTCACGCCAAATTATCTTAGTTAGCTCTAGTTGGAACTGGCTAGCTACAACATTTCTTTATTTCAAAAAAATTGCTTGAGAAGATAAACCTATAACTATACCCCCTATATTTTGTTTGCATGATGATGCATCTACTTTGCAGTTTTGATGGCTCATCACTTAGTGTTCAAGATGATGAAAAGTTAGAGTGAATTGAGCTTCCAGATTTCTTTAAACTGTTCCAGTCTGTCACAGGCAGTCTACAATGATATGAGTTGTGTCAACCTCTCAAGGTCGTGACTTCATGCCAGTGTCCTTAATTATTAAATATTTTCCTTCTCACTCAAACTTTAAATATTGGACCTCTAAGTCATTTTTTCTTCCAAACTTATAAAAATTGCATTCTGTTTGTTAACTATAATTTCCTTATTTATACTCACATTTAAATTTATACTTACGTTTAAATTTATTTGGTACTTATCATCAGTCTCTTCATACCAGACTTCCTACCTCATACATTGCTTGCTGTAACTTATCTATTGTTGACTGGATTACATCTTTAGGAAGAGTGGGGCCTATTTCCCAATTTTATGCATGTTTCAGAATATCTTTAAGTTGCCTTTAAACTGAATAAATTGACTAGATATAGACTTCTTGGACCACATTTAGAAAAATCTAACTATATTTGAGATTTACATGTATGGTAATCATAATTATAGTAGACATTTGTTAAGTACTTGCTATGTGCCAGACTATTCTAAGCTCTTACATGAGCTTGTGTATTCCTTAGATCCAATCCAAGGTACTAATGTTATCTTCATTTTAATTGCCAAATGTCATCCAGCTACTAAGTGATGAGATTGACATTCACACTTAAACAGTACTGCTCCAAAGTTCACATGCTTAACTTTCTATACTACCTCTCAAGATAATTAACCTAAAATGTTTAACTGTGTGGCCTTGAGCATGTTATTTAACTTCTAGATGCCTTAGTTAACTCTCTATAAAATGAGAATAATAATACCTCCAAAGGTTGTTTTGGTGATTAAATGAGTTAATATATGTCAATAGCTCATAACAATTCCTGGCACACAGTAAGTGCTTAATAATTGTCTGTTGTTCTTTTATTATTTGTGGATAGTAAGTTGCAGATCTGAGCTTTGAACAAGCAGTTTGGCCTCTAACTTTGCTCTTTGGTACTACAATGTAGCGTCAGCAATTAACATGGCATTTTAATTTAGTGAGGGAAAACATGGATTAGTCAGTAAACAGTGTTGGGATATACTCAATACTCAAGTAGATACTCAATACTTGTTGAATGAATGAGAGTTTTATAAAAGTATAAATACATTCACTTAAATACTAACAAATAAATATTAAGAACCATTTAGATTTGTATAGACAGTTTGGAAATATTTTAGTCTGTTCCACTGCAATAAAAAAATACCTTAGACTGGGTAATTTATAAATACAGAAATATTCAGAAATATTTTCTGACAGTTCTAAAGGCTGAGAAGTCCAAGATCAAGGTGGCACAGATTCCACATCTGGTAAGAGCTTGCACTCTTCTTCCAAAATGGCGCCCCTTGCTGCATCCTCACATGGCAGAAAGGACAAAAAGGACCAAATTCGCTCCCTCAAGCCCTTTTGAAAGGTGATTCCATCCATGAAGGCAGAGACCCCACCTCTTAATATTGTTGCATTGGGGATTAAGTTTCAATATAAAGTTTGAAGGGGACACAAACATTCAAACCATAGCAAGAAGGAAGCAAAAATGAGAAGAGATGCATGATTATCAAATTGTAGGTTATTTTCTGTTTTGAATTTCCTTATGTTCTTACAGAATTTCTCTAATAATACAATTCATTATATAATTTGAACAGATAACCACTAAATTGTATTTTTTTAGATATTGAGTTTGAGGTACCTAGAAAGATGACTGGAAGGTCAGAGCTCATATTGAGATTTTGGGACCATCAGAAGATAATGAGACTACCCACAAAGTGTGTGCAGTGGCGCACAACACATAAGGACTAAGCAAAGTAAGAGGACTTGACAAAAGGAACTTAAAAGGAACTGCTGGAAAGACAGGTGAAGAGTCAGAAAAGAGAGGCCCCAAAATATGAATCAGTGGGACAGGCGGGGAAAGAAATCACCTGAAGCAAACGATTCAGAAGATCAGGAAAGCATTCACAGCATTTAGGAATGAAAAAATCTTTGATGATGTTAAGCGATTTTATAAGAATTGTGACTACACAAGTCAAATTACCACATAGGAATAAAGAAAGTTAGGTAGAAACAGCAAATGTAGATGATGTTTTCAACAACTTTGATGACCAAAAAAAAGGGGAATGGATTCCGGGAGAATCTAGAGTGAGCTAGGGTTCCTTTTTTTGGTGCTGGAACTTTTTTGGATGGAAAAATAATGAGAGAGCAGGACATCACAGGACAGGAGAGACTAAAGATTTTAGGAGAGCAAGGAGGAAATCGATGGGACAAGACTTGAAAGCAGATAGGAAGGAACTGTTTGAAGGACGAAAGCAAAAACGGTTGGTAAAGAGGACTCTATGAGACACTGAATAAGGAGGTGATATTGTAGGCCATTTTAGAAATATAAATGAGACAGATGAGCAGCATGCCAGCTTCTGGTGTTTAGATCAGACCTTTTTCCTTGGTATTTATGACCTGGAAGCAGAGAGTAGGACAGCCTCCCTTCAAACAACAATTACATCTGTGTGCTCTATTTCTTGAAGTCTGTTTTCTGTACAGAGTAGAGAACCTTGCCGGACACGGTGGCTCTTGCCTGTAATCCCACCACTTTGGGAGGCCGAGGCGGGCAGATCACCTGAGGTTGGGAGTTTGAGACCAGCCTGACCAATATGCGGAAACCCCATCTCTACTAAAAATACAAAATTACCCAGGCGTGGTGGCGCATGCCTCTAATCCCAGCTACTCAGGAGGCTGAGGCAGGAGAATTCCTTGAACCCAGGACGGGGAGGTTGTGATGAGCCGAGATTGTGCCATTGCACTCCAGGCTGGGCAACAAGAGCGAAACTCCGTCTGAAAAAAAAGAATAGAAAATCTTGCTATTTTCTGTTCTCTCTTCTTATGAGATACCAATATAGGGTCTAAATAGATGATCGATTGATAGACTGACTCACACACACCTTGCTCTCACAGTCACTCCTATACCCTAAATATATAACTTGTGGTTAAAAAAAATAAATTAGAGTCAAATCAGAAAGTAGCATGCAGTACACTCTGCTAACCTCCTGTAGGACCGGCATTATGTGCACAAAAGTCAGCATAGATATGAGGCTTCACAGTTACCCTTTATTAGGTGAAAGCTTAATTCCTGGGACTCTAAACAAGAGACGAACACTACTGTGTGAGTATACATGAACATAAGTTTATAGAGGCATATATCTTTATGAAAATATTTGTGCTTTTCCAGAAATGCCCGAGGTCAGGAACCTTCTTGATATCAGCTGTCACATAGATAGGCCTTTTGGCGTTTTTGCCCTTTGCCATTTAGGCTTATCCTTCCCCTGCTTGATTAAGTACATGTTGTAGGTACCTCTGAGTTCCTTTACTGCAAACTTTGGCCAGAAGACTCTGATTTTAATCTTAACTAACGTAAATACTACAGGAAAATTCCATGATCTTTTAAAATTGTTTGTCATGTTCATAAGTATAAGTAGGCTGAAGTAGGCTGATGATACTAAAAGACTCACAGTCTGTTTTAAAGAATTTTTTGGGGAAAAAAGAGTGTCAGAAAAAGTAAATTAACATTTACATGTTTAAGCTGAATTTTTTTATTTTTGTTAAATCTAAATAAATTAGATTGTTCCATGCCTTATTAGCATATTTGTGGTTTAAAAATCATTGTTGAATATTAAATTTATGTGCCAGACCTTTTTAAAGGCATCCATAGTTTCCTCTACACAAAGTGACCCCAAGGTGATGTGTGATGTGTATCATCTGTACTTCTATAATTTTTCTCTTCTTTATTGAGTACTTCTGTCTGTTTTAAGTTCTTCCTTTATCATTATTTCTGTTCAAGGTATTTTCTAATGTGTAGTCAAAATAAAGCAGGTATTAAATTCAGTACAATAAGTGCCCTTTTTTTACGTGCTCTTCTGTTGATTTCTTAAAGAGAAAACCAGCTCTGGGACTTTTCCAATAGAACTAAGCATTTAGATTTTTTTAAAAAGTCTATTCCAGAGGCCTCTTCAATTCTTTAGTCTGTATCTGTTTTCTTAAAGGCATCGATGTCAGAAAGAAAGGTTTTACTAGAATTTGACCACCTCATACAACTAACGCTTATCAGCAACATGTAGCTAATCTTGAAATGACATCTAAAGGCAATCTGATACTGACACCATTAAGAAGATAAACAGAAATCTTTTGCAAAAGATTTTTAAAGGAGCCCTAGGATTGATTCTTCAGCTATGCTCACCTCATTGAGGCTCCTAAAGGCACAGGTAAAGTACTGAGCAGTTTTATAGCTTCACGAACATTCAGCTGTGCCAGGCAGGAAGCTGGCTAAGTCATGCACTTGCTGATGTGTGTCTAGTCTCTATTTCAGTTGTCACTGCATAGAATTTCCAGTGAATCTTAGATATTGTAAATAATTTTGACTGATTTTTTTTTTTTTAGGGCAGCATAACTACTTATGTGCTGGAAGAAATGACTGCATCGTTGATAAAATCCGCAGAAAAAACTGCCCAGCATGTCGCCTTAGAAAGTGCTGTCAGGCTGGCATGGTCCTTGGAGGTAATTCTGGTGTTTTCATCAATAGTATACTGTGTAATATTTATACTATAAAACTGTGTGTCAGAAAATTGTAATTTCTTATTCATCTTTATTTTGTTTTGTTTTTTTTGTCTTGATTATTTGCAGTGACTCTGCACATGTGAGTGTCTGAATGAAGCAACCAATACCATTCCGTTAACTTTACAGGTTTCCAGCACATTGAAACTGTTAAGAGAAGAAAACTCCATTAATCTATATTGCCTATAAGTAGAGGTTATGGGCAATGCACTGACCTGTCATTAAGTAGTATGTGTCGGAGTTTGCTGCCCATATCCTGTGTGACCACAGCCCTTCCTGGGCATCAGTCTACTTATCTGTAAAATGAGAGCATTAACGTTCCTTTCGGCTCAAAAATTGACTCTGCAGATTGGTCAGGTACCATTGCTTACTAGCTTCTGCAAGTGATTGATTAAAGCAATCACTTTAGGAATCTATTTGGTGAAGAGTTATATTAGTAATTCCCTTTTCCCATATTTTTATTAGAATCTCTAAAACTTTCAATAATATAGCGCACATTTAAAAAATTAATGTCAGATAGTGACAGATAGTTTGAATGAAAACAGCGGAGTGAGGGAGATCAAGCGAGCCAAGGTTATGCAAGACAATCCTACTCCCTTGCATTTTTTCACTTAGCCACATCCTGCACAACACTGTCTGGAAATCGTGGCTTTTACATCTAGATATAACTTTTAAAAAACATAATAAAAATATTACATAATTGTTAAAGCTAAAAATGCTTTTTCAGTGCACCAACTATAAACAGCTTGTGTTCCAGTGATGTTATGTGGATTTTCCTTTGGGAAATGCTATACTGAGACCAATGCTTGTCAAATTTAAAACATATACAGCTGTCACCTCCTTTGTTTTTGCAAACATGCTGGACCAAAATTAAGCACCCAGGTAACATGCTGGGTACTTTACATTAACTCATGTAATTAGATCACTTATAGAATTTTATAATTTCTTGATTAAAGATTTATTTTCCTAAGTTAAGAGCAGTGATTAGGTTGACAGTAGTACCTGGCTTAAGGAGGTGCTCAGTAACTCTCTATTAGCTGAATGAAACCACAATCTCAGCAGATTAAAATTGTTTTTGAGTCCGACACCTCAATTACCACCTCTTTGTATTTCTGTTTCCACTCAGAAGTCTTAAGGAGCCTCCTCAATTTTAGAAAATACAACTTTCTCACAAAATCACACATCTAGTCAATGTTGGAGCCAGAAGAAAGACCTGAAGGTATCCTGACCCTGGCGCAGCCATTGTTTTCTCCTTGGCATGCTTGCCTTAGATAGTAGCAGAGCCTCTAATGCTGACACTTAGATTCCACTAAGATCTTTAATCTTGAGTGTTTTCCCAATGACTTTAAAAGACTCTTCAATTTTATCAAAGAATGGAAATGGCAGAGTTCTGGATAGAACGTTCAGAATATTCCTGGGGATCAGCGACATAACCTAGAGAATTTTATGTTATCTTTTAATATTCTAGGGCTTTATTTATTTATTTATTTGAGACACTGTCTCACTCTGTCACCCAGGCTGGAGTGCAATGGCACAACCTGAGCTCACTACAATTCTGCCTCACAGCTTCCAGCGATTTTCCTGCTACAGCCTCCCGAGTAGCCGGTATTACAGGCACCCGCCATCACGCCCGGCTAATTTTTGTATTTTAGTAGAGACAGGGTTTCACCATGTTGGCCAGGCTGGTTTTGAATTCTTGACCTCAGGTGATCTGCCCACCTTGGCCTTCCAAAGTGCTGGGATTACAGGCGTGAGCAACTGCACCCGGCCTTTAGCATATTATTCAAGCATCTATAATTCTTTATCTTCTGTAACCAAACTGCTTGTTACTTTAGCCTGTTACTCCTATGCTTTCCAAACCATATTCTATGGGCTTCACAGCTATTGCTACATTTTCATACCTTTTATATTATTTATTTGCTTAACTCTACTCCCTCCCTCCCTCCTTCCTTCCTCTTTCCTTCCCCCCTCTTCCCCCTCAATCATTTTCTAACTTGTACCCCATTCCTTTCTTTCAGTAACTGTATATTGAGCCCTTTCTAGTTACCAGATACTATTCTAAGTTCTGGGCATATAGCAGCAAACAAAATGGACAAAATTCCTGCCCTCATAGATCTTACACTGTGGGAGGAGGAGCAACAAATGTACATGTCAAATAATCATTAGTGCTGTGGAAAGATATTAAGCAGAGTTAGTAGGGATTATCAGGAAGCAGACTCACTACTGAACTCGTTAGTCTAATAATATTTTTGTTTTACTTAGCCTCTTCCTGAGCAATAATATCTCTGAAATCACGGATTTGATATGCCAGTTATAATTTTTCTAAAAGACATTAAAATAAACTCTTAACTATTTAAATATATATTCAATGTACCACCTAAAAACTGCTTGTATACCATAAATGAGTATGTGTTACACTCTGGAAAAGAGCATATTAGACCATTTTTTCCCAGCTATTGCAGCTCTATTTATTTTCTCAGCTTTTATTTAGCTTCAGTGGGTACATGTGCACATTTGTTACCTGGGTATATTGTGTGACACTAATGTTTGAGGTACAAATGATCCCATCAGCTCGGTACTGAGGTACTGAGCATAGTACTCAATAGTTTTTCAACCCTTTCTTCTTCTTCCTTCCTCCTCTAGTAGTCCTCAGTTTCCATTGTTGCCATTTTTATGCTCATGAGTACCCAATGACTAGCTCCCACTTATAAGTGAGAACATGCAGTTTTTGGTTTTTTGTTCCTATGTTAATTTGCTTAGCATCTTGGCCTACAGCTACATCCATGTTGCTGCAAAGGATATGACTTCGTTCTTTTCATGGCTGCATACTATTCCATGGTGTATATATACCACATTTTCTTTGTCCAATCCACTATTAATGGGCACCTCGGTTAATTCCATATCTTTACTATTGTGAGTAGTGCTGTGATGAACATGTGAGTGCATGTGTCTTTTTGATAGAACAGTTTATTTTATTTTGGCTATGTATCCAGTAATGGGATTGCTGGGTCTAATGGTAGTTCTGTTTTAAGTTCTTTAAGAAGTCTTCAAACCAGTTTCTATGGTGGCAGAACTAATTTACATTCACACCAACAGTATATTAGTATTCCCTTTTCTCCACAGCCTCACCAGCATTTATTAGGTTTTGTGTTTTTTAGGTTTTCTTTTTTGAGACAGAGTCTCATTCTGTGACCCAGACTGGAGTGCAGTGGCACGATTGTGGCTCACTGCAGCCTCAATCTCCTGGGCTCAAGTGATCTTTCTACCTCAGCATCCTGAGTAGCTGAGACTACAGGTATGCACCACCACACCTGGCAAACTTTTTATTTATTTATTTTTTGTAGAGATGAGGTCTCACTATGTTGCCCAGTCAGGTCTCAAACTTCTGGGCTCAAGTGATCCTCCCAAAGTGCTGGAATTACAGGTGTGAGCCACCATGCCTGGCATGAATTTTTAATAATAGTCATTCTGATTGGTGTAAGATGGTATGTCATTGTAGTCTTGATGTGCATATCTTAATGATTAGTGATATGGAGCATTTTAAAATGTTTGTTGGCTGCTTGTATGTCTGCTTTTGAGAAGTGTCTATTCAAGTCTTTTGCCCATTTTTTTGATGAGATTTTTTGCTTTTTCATCTGTGTAAGTTCCTTATAGATTCTGGATATTAGACATTTGTTGGAGGCATAGATTGTGAATATGTTCTCCTATTCTGTTGGTTGTCTGTTTACTCCATTGATAGTTTATTTTGCTGTACAGAAACTCTTTAGTTGAATTAGGTCTCACTTGTCAATTTTTGTTTTTTTTTTCAATTGCTTTTGAGGACTTAGTCATAAATTATTTCCCAAGGCTGATATCCAGAATTATATTTCCTAGATTTTCTTTTAGATTCCTGTAGTTTGAGGTGTTATATTTAAATCTTTAATCTACCTTGAGGTAATTTTTGTATATGGTGAAATGTAGGGGTCCAATTTCATTATACTGCATGTGACTAGGTAGGTATCCCAGTACCATTTATTGAATAAGGAATTCTTTCTGCATTGCTTATTTTTGTCAACATTGTCAAAGATCAGATGGCTGTAGGTGTACACCTGTATTTCTGGGTTCTATATTCTGTTCCATTGGTCTGTGTGTCTGCTCTTGTGCCAGCACCATGCTGTTTTGGTTACTGTAGCCTTATAGTATAGTTTGGGATTAGGTAATGTGATGCCTCTGACTTTTCTTTTTGTTTAGGACTGCTGTAGTTATTTGGGCTCTTTTGATTTTATATAAATTTTAGAATAGCTTTTTCTGGTTCTGGAAAAAATGTCATTGGTAGTTTGATAGGAATAACATTGAATCTGTAGATTGCTTTGGACAGTATGGCCATTTTAACAATATTGATTCTTCTAATATGTGAACATGGAATGTTTTTACATTTGTTAGTGTCATCTGTGATTTCTGTTAGCAATGTTTTATAGTTATCCTTGTAGAAATCTTTCATCTGCTTAGTTAGATGTATTCCTAGGTATTTTGTGTGTGTGTGTGTATGTGTGTGTCTATTGTAAATGGGATTACTTTCTTGATTTGGCTCTCACCTTGAATGCTATAGTTGTATGGAAATGGTACTAATTTTTTCAGGTTTATTTTGTGTCCAGAAACTTTACTGAAGACATTTATCAGTTTTAGGAGCCTTTTGGTGGAGTCTTTAGAATTTTCTAGGTATAGAATCATGTATTATGCAAGAGAGATAGTTTGACTTCTTTTTTTCGTGTTTAAATGCCTTTTGTTTCTTTCTCTTGCCTGACCGCTCTGGCTAGCACTTCCAGTGTTAATAGGAGTGGTGAGAGTGAGCATCCTTAACTTGTTCCAGATCTCAAGGAAAATTCTTCCAGCTTTTGCCCATTCAGTCTGATGTTGGTTGTGGGTTTGTCATTGTGGTCTCTTATTGTTTTTAGGTATGTTTC